GGCATTAGCAGCATCTAATGCCCCGCTAATGTCAACGACTGTTGACTGCTTCGCGCCCTTAAAGTGTCGGCAGTTTCATTAAACAGACAGCTGGAGCTGCACTGAGCGTGGGAGCTGCAGTGGGGTGGCTGAATAAGTTGATTGGCTTTCAGTTTAGCCAACTGCAGCGCGCCTGCATTTGCAACGGCTGCTCGGCAGGCCGGGGCATTTGCTTAGCTGTGCGCGTAATTAAGTTGAAATTAAAGCGCAAAGTTTGCTTTAAGTTGGCAGCAGTCGCAGTCGCTGCCTCTCCCTCTGCTGTTACTGTACTCGCCTGCTAAACGCTAATTAGATCTTTTAGTTTCATTCAGTATTCCAAGCCCGCCTTCTGCTGCCCCTGCTGCCAGCAAATTAATGAAATTAAAAGCACATTATACTTTATAATGCACGCTGATTCGAGTGGGGCAAATTTAATTTAAGGATTTGCTGAGCCAAGATGCTCAACGCACGCCCCAAACACATTCAAATTGTCTCTCATATATCACAGGCAAACGGCCAGCTGGGATAGCAACATGAGCGGCAGGAAGCAGCCAGCAGCAGTCCCGTTGCCGTCTCCTTGCCCAAGTGTCCCATTGCCAAGATAGCCGCAGTGCCAAATTGCGGGCATAAGTGACTCTCGAAGGCACATAAATGCGGCAAATGCGGAATGGACCAAATTGATTGGGTGCCCCGCCCGGCATTGATCAAAGTCATAAGTCAGACCAGGCGGGCGGCCATGGGCACTCGCCATGTCCATCCCCATGTAAATATCCTTTTGCAGTTGAGTTGTCCTTTTCTTGGGCGAGCCCCAAACGCTGCGCGCAGCACGTCTAAGCAACTGGATTATTAACATTTCAATATAATTTGTGGTCATGCGGGCTGCTCCCATCCCCAGCTCCTGCTGCCGTCTCCTGCTCCTGCCAATATCCAGGGCAGCATCGCACCCAACTGGGCAGCGATTTACTTTTCTGCTGACGTCTGGCAAAATTAACGCGCCTCAGGACTTTGATCCTTTTTTTACATACATGTGTCTGTGCGTGTGTGTGTGTGTGTGTGTGTGTGCATATACTTATCCAATGTATTAGTATGTGTGGCAGCACCCGCTGCGTGTTAGTCCTACGTATTTGCTTACATATTCATCAATTTTTTGGGTTAAACTGTGGGCGGGCCCACGCCCACAGAGCAGCGCCCACATTGTGGGTCGTGCACGTTTTGCGGTTGTTAGCGTCAAATTGTTTGCTTATTTTGGGCTTTCATATGACAGCGGGCAGTCGCCGCAGTCGCCGCAGTCGCCGCGGTCGCCGCAGTCGCAGCAGTCGGTCAGCTGTTGGTTTTTGTGACTGGCCGCTAAACGCTTTTAGCTTTGATGCAGTGCCCATTTGGCCATTGAGTACATAATTGCCATTGCGATTACGCATACGCCGTGTGGTCAACGACCGGATGGAATTTGAAAAGTGATTTCTATGCAAAAATGTGCAAATATATGCCAAAGGCGTCATCCATTTCATTCCAGCCAATGGCCCAAGAGGTGACACACATTTGCTATCGATAGACAGCGCTGCCAATCGATAAATTGCCCACATTCGCCAGGGGGCCTTAAGGACTCTCGAGTCGACTTTATGCGATTGCGTGTAATTAAGCGTTGCAGCTTATGTAAGACAAACAGGAAATAAGGTGTAGCACAAACGCATAAATAACAATGGCAAATCAGCGCACACACACACACACACACTCCCTCTCTCTTCATTGGGTTGAGGCAGGCAACGACTCGACACATAAATAAAGGCAACACAAACAATGGAAACGGATAACATAAAATTTACAACAACTCTGGCAGCTCAAGCTAAGTAAAGCTGTAAAACACACACACACACACACACTCATGCTGGTCTTCCGCTTGCAGTGATGAAAAGGTAGAGAAGTAGGCGTGGCACTTTACTGACACACTTGGCCATGCTGCCACTACTACCACTACTACAACTACTTCTACGCCGTATCCGATGTCCTGCCCGGCGCACAGGTTGTTAGCGCTGTCGAGTCGGGGCAGACGCGTCCTCTGCAAATATACAAAACACTTGTAAAAGCCGTGTGCCTGCCGAGGATTTATAATTAATTTATGTGCACGTGTGCTGGTCTACATGACGATTCCAAGAGGGAGAGAGACAGAGAGACAGAGAGAGTGAGGGAGATTACTTCAGCGATGCCAAAAACTTAATTAACTCATTACATACGCACAGCTTTAATCAGGCAACGAGCTGACGAGCCAGCCGAAAGAAATGCTGGCAGCCCCTTGACACCGCAGACACCACAGTCTCCCCCCTCCTCCTGCCCCACAGCCAGCCCCAAGGCAACAAAGTGGCTGCCGATACAGAAGCAGGTCGCAGCCGCTGCCCATTTCAGGCAAATTTAAAGCAGCCTTTGACTGCAATTAGCGTACACGTCTCTCTCTCTCTCTCTCTCACTCTCTCTGTCGCCCTCTCGATGTCAGCAATAAGAACTTTGCTTTTCGTTTCGGCTCATGAATATTACATTCGCTGGCTCCAGCTCCAATAAGCCAAAAGTATGTCTGCCAGTCAGTGAACCGGGCAGCTCTTCACAAGTTGCGTGCATGCCTCAAACGTCGTTTTGCCTTTGAGCTGACAACAACAGCAGGAGCAGCAGCAGGAGCAGCAGCAACCACAGCAAGGTGGAGCGACAACGACAAAGCACAATTGGCTCACAATAATGACAATTGGCGGAGCTGCGTGTATCGCAATTCGAGTCAGTGTCAGCTAAGCCTTGCCGCCGTCTGATTTTACAATGGGCTCATTAATGGTGGCGTATACGCAATTTACAATTAAATAAAAATTGTGCGCGCACACACACACACACGCACATAGAGGAGCAGCAGCAGCAGCGATTTACTCGTTTCGGTTTGTGTTTTAAAAGCCAACAACGCAGCTTTAACGGCTCACTCACACAGCTGCCAGCTCAGTCTCACTCTCTCTCTCTCTCTCTCTCTCTCTCTCTCTCTCTCTCAGTCTGTCTCAATCCCTACTCATATCGTCATGTGACTGTGGCTTGGCCTGGCGAATTGCTTTTAATATTTATTTAACACAAAAGCTTTCCGCATTACGTTTCTGCTGCCGTTAATTTTTCGCTTTGCTTTTCATTTTCGCAAAATTACCGGAAATGTTAATTTCTGCACGTGCAGCAGACGACGACGACGATGACGACGACAGCGACGACTATGATGACAAGGACACAGGACGTAGGACATGCCGCAGTCGAGCTGGCAGTCACAGCCGCGCCCGTCAACGTCGCCAACGTCGCAGTCGTCGTCGCCGTCGTCGTCGTCGTTGCCGTCGTCATGCCCCAGTTGAATAGTGCTAATTATTTAGGGTAAGACTTCTGGCTCTATAAGTGTATGTATGTGTGTGTGTCTCTCTGTGTGACGACCCCCAAAAACCCTCCATGCTGGCCCTTAGCCTATTGCCAGCCCTCAGCTTTACTCAGCCTTAGCTTAGCTGACACAAAAGCATACGAAGGACAACGGCACAAGCAGTCGACGGCGACGTCGACGCAGGCAGCGACGACAGCAGCAAACCGCAACAGCAACTGAAACGTTGCGACTTTTTCTGTGCCAAAGAGACAAAGCACACAAAAATAATAATAAATTATTGCGTTTTGACTCGATGTGTGTGTGTGTGTATTCCCATGTGTTTATGTGTGTGTGTGTGTGCATTGTGCATCTTGCTCTTTGCGTTTGTGTGTGTGTGCAGCTCGCATGACAGCGCAAGCCTTTGAATTTGTGCACTCGCTGATTTTCATATACACAGCTCGTTTATGTCGAAATATGTGTGAGTGTGTGTGTGTGTGTGTGTGTGTGTGTGTGTGTGTGTGTGTGTGTGGGAATATGTCCTCCATCTGTGTCTGTTCTGCCTTACTCACATTGAGCTCTTCACAATATCTTTTGAAATGTGGCCGAGTGCAGCATCAACTTTTTCACTTGTGATTCGGCGTCTTTAATTAGTAAAATTGTTAATTGCAATATGCGCTTGGTGAGTTATAGTAAATCATTAACCTACAAATTGTAGTTAAGAAATGACGAAAAACACTAATTATTGATTTATTTTACTAAGAAAATGATCAAAAATTATGCTTTGTCTGATCCTGGCTTCTGTTGGCAGCACGAACTGACGAATAAGATCTTTTGAGGCTAGGCAGAATTATTTATTTAGTGGATAATTTGATCCTTATCATTTACTAAAGAGCTCTTACGATTGTCGCGATAATCTCAGGAACTTTAATTCTATTTTGTTGCTTCCCTGGAAATTTCTTACAATATAGGCAATCAGCATTGGCTGAATTTCTGCCTGTTTATACTATTTATATAAAATATCGAGAATCAAGAAATTTACTCGGCTTAGTAGTTCACTCTTCTGCTCAAACTACGAGCACCGGCTGGCTACAGTCAAGTCGATGCGCTGTGAGTACGAATCGACATATTAGGTATAGAGTGAAAATGGAACGCATGATCCCAAACTCTTTGCAAATATAAATCTCTTACAAAGTTAATCTAGTCGGGCATAATCTAGATATACTTACTAAACTAAAAACAACGACACTTTTTATTTATGTATACTATATACTCTACTCCATAATGGCTCCTTTAGATCCCAAAAATCCTGCACACATATAACTTACACAGCCTGCACATAATTACATTATAACTCAAAGACTTTGCCATGCTCTCAATTTTGATAAAGTCAAGTGACTCGATTCAAGCTAAGAGGCAGCACTTGACTTTATTTTAATAAATAATTACGGCTGCCTTATTCGCTCTTTCAATTTCTTGGAAATATTTATGGAAAATTAAATAAAAATTGAGCAGAGTCAACTTGGATGAGTTTGAGCTGTAGCATCCCAATTAATAGAATCTCTTCTCTTTAGTTGTGTATAAACTTCAACTTATTTGTCTCCGCTTTCATTATCTCTTGCAGAACAATTCCACATCTTTGTGGGGGACTTGAGCTCAGAAATTGAAACTCAGCAATTGCGCGAGGCATTCACACCATTCGGCGAGATCTCGTAAGTATTAAAATGCAAATTTCCACTCTCACAATTTACTTTCCGCTTTCGTGGCTGCCTGCCTGGGCGCATCTTTTTCGGCAGGTGTGTGCGGCCATTTCTTATTTTGGCAGCTTCAGCATGGCGAGCGGGCGGGGGCAGACGCATGTGAGGCGGTTGCTTGCATCAACACGGTAATCCGCTTGCGTGGGCACACATAAAAATTTCATAACGCCGCGGAAAAGTATTTTATGTTAATTTCACTTAAGCGAACTCTGCTGGCAGCCACTGTGCGTCGAGGCCCGACAGTCGCTGCTGAAAGCAAACAGCAAGTGTCGCTCGAGTTAAATTGTTGCTGCAATCACAACAGCAACAACAACAACGACAAAAGATTGTTAAATATTTAACTTGCTGTTTTTCGGCATGAAAGGACTCGAGCGGCTGAAGCTAATGGTCAACAACAACAACAAGAGCAGCAACAACAACAACAACAACAACAAGAGCAGAAACTTGACTTAATTAACTGCTGTTGGGGGCGCAAAGTTTCGGCCCAAATGGCTGACAGAGGCTCTGTGGCATGTCCTGCCCGCCGGCGACTTGTACAAAATGTTGGCCAAAGTATTTGATTTTTGGATTATGCGCTTGTTTGTTCCATCAATCCCCGTAACACCCGGACAGTCCACCCTTATCGGAAGCAATTGCGAATGTTAATAATTTTAAACTCATTAAAATGATTTGGGCTTTGATTTGGCCGCAAGGCTTTTAGCTAGTCGCTGACTTTGTGGTGCTAATGAGCGGCGCATGTCCTTTGATTGCCTCCTGCCAACGGTTGCCAGGCTCCCAGCGCCCTCAAATTGCAAAATTGCCCACGTCAAATCGACTCGTATCGCTGGCTACGCGCCCAAGCAGCTGCTTTGACGGCTTATTGAGCACTCGATTGGCACCTGGGCGATACATATCTTGATATCATTATCGCCGATATGTTTGCGCCTCGCACATGAGTCGCACAGATGGATGGCTGGGCTGGGCGGCGCTGGGCGCAGGCAACCGGAAACCGCCCAAGTCACCGGCTCCGGATTATCGAACCGTCTGCGTCCCTCCGCTGGCAGCGCGAACTTGAGCAACTTTCTTTTCATATGCGGCTGTCATCTGCTTGCCATGGCAGCGACCATGTCAAAACAAGCGGGACGAACTTTGATACAGATATTCCGTATCGGATACGGACTCGTTCGTGCGGCGCACTGGGATCAGCCGACGTCGCATTCTTGGGCCGGGGCCAACGACTTCTTTGTCAAAACTTTTATGCGTGCGGTGTTCCTTGTCCTGTTCTTGTTTTTGTTTTTGTTCTTGTCTCTCTGTGTGTGTGTTCTGCCTAAGCTTTTACGGCGTATTTTGTTTTTTTTTTTTCTTTGTTTGTTGCCTGGTTTTGGCATTATGTTGGGGGCCTTGGCGTATTTCTGATTCTGTTTTGTTAAATGCGCGGCGCGTGTGAATATTTAATAAGCCGTCTGCCAGCTCGCCCGACGTGCCCCAGCCCGACTGCCCCGAGTTTACTTATAATAATCATAAAAAAAGTTGCCGGCCACCATTGCCAACATTCCCGGCACTATGTTAACTAAACTGCCAGATCGGGGGTAATTGCCAAACTTTGCTGGCAACTTGGCTTGGCTTAGCCGTTGCCCCGGCACCCCCATGGCCCCGAGAATTTTCGGACTCTGGCTACTGCTGTGGGAAATCAATTTGAGGCGCGGTCGCTGGGCAATCAACTAAATCGCTCTCGAAGTGTTGAGACGAAACAATTTGTACTGCAAAGAAGATAAATAAATATGTTCTTCGGTTCTCCTCTGTTGTCCTTATATTATAGCGAAACTAATTTCAAATTGCTGTAAAACTATTTCAATAAATTTATGGCTTTGCCTTCGACTTGAGGCGAAAATAAAGAGAGCTTGAGTCGGGCTGATGAGCAGGAAATTTTTTTTGCTGAGATATGATAGGCTGAGCTAGAAGGAATTATTGAATATATTAGTACATTAAATAGACAAAAAAGTAACTAAAAAAATATATGAAATGTGAAAAAATATATTTAATAGATTAGGAGGAATAACTGAATAAATTAGAATAAATAGAATTAATTTTTAATTGAATAAATTTTTGCACTAAATTTATTTAAAGTGACACAAAATGTGAAAAGAAATCCAAAAATATATACTTATTAAAAAAAATGTATAATTATAATTGAATAAATCATTAAATTAAATAGAAAAAAAAAAAAAATAAAATAAAATAAAAAAAAATGTATGAAATGAAAAGAAAAATTTTTAATAAATTAGAAGGAATTATTGAATAAATTATTTTGAATAATTGAATAAACTATTGCAATAAATAGAAAAAAACTGAAACAAAATTTTAAAAGAAATCAAAATATATATTTATTTAAAAATATTTAAAATTGTCTAAGCAAGTTTTCTATTATTTGGCACTCCTATTCACTTCTCATTTCCCGCCTTTCCCTCTTTGCAGCGATTGCCGCGTGGTGCGCGATCCACAAACCTTGAAGTCGAAGGGCTATGGATTTGTGTCCTTCATCAAGAAATCGGTAAGCAAGGCGCGACTCGCCTGCTGTAATGCAGTCTCATGCCGTCGCCCATATCTCTGGGCTCAATGTGAGTCCGGCACGCGTTTCTCAACTTTCGCTTTTTTGGTTTTTACTTGCAGGAAGCTGAGAGCGCCATTACGGCCATGAATGGGCAGTGGCTGGGCTCGCGCTCGATTCGCACGAATTGGGCCACACGGAAACCGCCGGCAAGTAAAGGTAAGGAAATCATGACTGTCACCTGGCCTGGCCCCAGGCTTCCCTCCCGCCTGTGCGTGCGACTGTACGCATAGAGGGCGACCCCGCCAAGCAGCTGGGTCAGCGAGCCCCTTGCTCTGGTCGCCATTCTGGATGTGGCTACTGTTGTTGTAGTTGTTGTTGTTGTTGGCAGGAGTCGACGCATCGGTCTTATTACAGGAAATTATGGCAATGAATGCCAAAGGTATCAGTGGCATGACACGGACCAAAGGTTGCGCAAAAAGGCATCCAGCCGAGGTTCAACCCACCAGACCCACCAACCCCACGTCTGCTATTTATAAACGTGTCGCAGCAAAATTTTCTGCCAGATTATGTTTTCTTAATTTTTGTGTGTGTTTTTCCCCATTCTCCATTCCTTTTCTTCGGCTGTCTAAAAAAACCGCACGCGCTTAATTTCCGTAATGGGCCAGGCTCCAAAATTTCGGCTTAAACTTTTTCAATTAGTCGACGGCAAAAGGTTCGGGGAGGGAGGGCAAAGCGAGGGAAAGTAATGCGACATATTCCATTACACGGCAAGCCGAATCAATTTTCATTTGCACACGCCCCCACACCACCCTCGAAGGCCCTAAGCGAGTGTAACCACAAAACTAACTCTAACTAGCGCAATCATTATTAACAGTTAGCGATGGAGGAGCGGCTTGTTTCGATTCGTCTTGGCCTGTCATAAATCAAAAGTTAACGCGTATTTGCATGTTTTAACATAATTTTTATTTGTTTGATGCACACACACACACAAGCACACACACAGACAGAAGTTCTTACTTTAAGAGCGACTATAGAAGGACGCAATCAGATAAATAAATTTTGCCAACACGAAACTATTATCATAAAAGGCACACACACACACATACACACACACACAGTCGTAGTGAACGAGTAACAGGATAGCAAAAATTTCATGGTTATAGAACAAACATTTGGCATTCTTTGCTCCACACACACACTCACACACTTGCACACACACACACAGAGTCAAGGTGGAATTTATCGTGCGAAGGAAGGTCTGACATGTTGAAGGGTTCCCATTTTTGGGGGCCAGCAACAACAACAACAACTATGTGCATGAATTTTTGCTTTTGCATTTATATTGTTGTCATAAAAAACGCCTATGAAAGCCTAAGCGGATTTTTATTGGTCTCATTGTTTATTTGCCTTTGTCACGGGGCTTGTCTGTGCCGGGCCACGCCGAGCGACTGAGGGGGGCCGGGCGGGCGGTTGGTTGCTGCTGCGGCGGCGCTGGCTGTAGTTGTAATACAAGTTATTATTAGCAATTTGCCAGCGAAATAATTTGGATATTTCGATGGTTGAGCGCCAGAGAGAGAGAGAGAGAGAGAGAGAGAGGGAGAGAGAGAGAGAGAGAGAGAGGGAGAGGGAGAGGGAGAGACTTTGCTGATTCAGCAGGCCAGGACCCAAAATCGAAGACGCCGCCAAAGATTTTACACAATTACGAGCTGTCGTTTAGTCGTAGCTACATAAAGGGTTTTTACCATGCGTCCTTATAGTTCACATGTGTGTGAGTGTGTGTGTTAGAGTAGGTTGCGGACTTTATGGCCATGTCTAGTTGTTTGGGTTGGCTGCTGGCAGGCAGCCTTTACGATTTGTAGCACTCAACTCATTTCGCATTTCGCATTTGGGATTTGGCATTACTTGATATTTTACGCAGCCACTTTGCCTCTGCTGCTCCTGCTGCTCCTGCTCCAGCTACTCCTGCTGCTGCTGCGAGTGCTTTTGGCCAGGCTTGGTCTGGCATTTTTATGTTTTAAGCAGGCTGCACATTTTATAGCCGTGGCAATCAGTCCGTAGTTGCGACGTTTAGTAAGCCAATCACCAGCATATGTGAGTGTGTGTTGTTTGTGTGTGTGTGTGTTTGTGTGTTGTGTGTGTGTCCTTTTGTAGCTAAGATTTACGAGCCGACGCAATTGCGCATTTTACAGTTGTGACAATTTTGGCGTCGCTTTGCAATGTTCTGCTTCTTTTCTGTTGTATTTTCCGTGTTGAGGTTTCCCTTTCTCATTTTCCCTTTACTCTCGTTGTGTGCCAAGCTCTGGGCTTATAATAAACGCATTTGCCATTTTTTATTGTCGACAGCAGCTCGTGGCAAAAGTTTTGGCAAAGTTTCGCTTTTGTTAAAACCGGTTAAGGCCCCGCCCGGCTCCTGCTCCAGCTCCCGCTCCTGCTCCTGCTCCGGCGCCAATTCAATGCATGCCATAAATAAAGGCCAAAATACTTACAAGCTCATTATAGTAATAACTTAATTAACCTGAAACAATATGCCGGTAAAACAAAGCCCACGCCGCCGACGCTGACGACAGCGGCGTCGACGCCGACGCCGACGTCGACAATGTTGTATGACAAATTTCTGTGCCAAAACTATTTGACTTTTGACTGTGCTGCAAAGGCAAACTGTCGACTGCCGACTGTCGACTGTCGACTGTTGAGTGGGCGTGATGTGGGCGGCAGTGTGCCCAGAAACTTGAAGCAAATTATGCGACTGTGTGCGTGAGTCGCCTACTTACCTGGCAGTTGTAGTTGTCGCAATAAATCAACATTTTATGCAGAGTTGCGCACAATTAAGTAAAAGTTGAAATGCCTCGCAGCGCTGCCCAAGTGCTGCTAACTGTATTCGTGGCCGTCTACATGAAAACTTGCAGGTGAAGCCACATTCTATGCTAATGCATGGGCATGGCCTCAAAATACTTTAAGTTGCAGGATTTATTTAACGATTCCATGTTGGATTCGCTATAACTCAATGATGTACACCAAACTTCACGCTCTCCCTCCCTCACTCACTGTCTCTCTCTCTTTCTCTCTCCACTCTCTCGCTCTCTTCAAACTTTTGTGTCCCAAGTTCGAATACATTAATTCGCTTTTTGGTTTGGCTAATGCGTCTTTAAAATAATATGCTTACGCCCAGCTCATGCATATTAATTAGCTGGAAATGTGCTCGAGCCGCTACTTCGCATTGCTTTTCGTTTGCTGGGGATGGTTTTTCTTTTACACATGTATAAAGTCTTGAATTATGTACGCTAATGACTGGGTGATTAATTCATCATTAAGTTGTACATGCCAGTAATTGCTCATTCAAATTGCAGTACCCAGAGACAGTCAGAGAGAGCTGAAAAGAGAGCATGAGTGAGAGAGAGGGAGACAGTCAGACAGTGAAACATTTGGCTGGGCTATTATATATATTACTATTATATATGCATATATCTTTTTTTGTGCACGTGTGTGTGTGTGGCCTGCCCGCCGGCCGTGGACTTTAGTTTTAACGTGATAATTATGTCCACACTTGCAGTCCAAAGTACAGCCCGAGCTGAGCACTTTAATTTGGCGTAGTCATGAAATGAATTGTGGCTGGGGACTGTCGCAGCTCAGCCAAAGGGTGCAATGGCAACAACAGCAGCAGCAGACTGCGAATCGCCCCAAGGCTAAGCACGTATACGTGTGTGTGTGTGTGTGTGTGTGTGCGTGTGTGCTACCTTCATACCTAACCAAATTTAATTACACGGATTTAAAAGCGTAAGGAGAACTAAAGGCAAAGAAATGAAACGAAGGCACAGGCACAAAGCAAAGTGCAAATTAGTGAAACATTGCGCTAGAAAGTATGCAATGCAGCTAGGGCTAAGCCCCTCTCATGCGCTGAGAGAGCGTACGTGAGTTCATGTCTCCACGGGTGTGTGTGTGTGTGTGTGTGTCTGTGTGTGTGTGACAAGGCGTATTCATTTGTGGCAAAAGCTTTCAAATATATTTGCAAGCTTGTTAGTTCATACGTTGCACCCTCAGTTGTACGTATGTGTGTGTGTGTGTGTGTGTGTGTGTAAGAATTGTCCTGTTGCATGTTATTGAGCCATATTTTTGTGTGGTGTTTGGTTTGCTGCAAAGCAGCGGGAGCGGGACAGACAGCGATATATTAGGGCGAGCGAGAGAGAGAGAGAGAGAGAGAGAGAGTAACAGAGTCGAGTAGCGCAAGCTAACGATATGTAAAGGAATTATAATGGAGGGTTGAGCTCAAAGCAATACACGAAACCAGCTAAGGTTAGGCTAATACGAAGCAAGCAAACGCCGTACGTTTACAATTGAATAAAATTATTTGAAATCATAAATAATTAATTTCAAAATTAGTTCACATTAATCTTTTATTTGAAAATCTTATTCACTTATTTATATACTTATATATTATACTTATTATATATTTTTTTATAAATTATTAAATTGTTTTTAATATGTATTTTAATGCAAGAATTTCGCTGTTGCTTAAAACAATTTATTAATTATTTATTAATTTATTAAAATTAAAAAATTTGAATCTATATATATTTTGTTTATTATATTAATAATTTATTTAATATAAATATACTTTTATATATATTTTATTTAAAACATATTAATAATTTTTTTAATATACATATTTTTTTTTAAATTTATTATATTGCATGAATTTAACCGATGCTTAAAGCAATTGCTGCATTTATTCAATATATTTTTTGTGCATAAATAAATGACTGTTTTTGTCATGATTTTAATCATTTTGCGCGTTGCGTCCATTAAAAAACGTAAATTCAATGGAATTTACTTCACAGCAATCAGTATAAAAAATGTAGTAAAATCGTTTTTAAATCCCATAAACTTTCATATGGCCCACAAAAACAACAGCAACAACAACAATAACAACAAATAAAACGAATAAAAAGCGTATGTTCTGGCAGTGACTGGTGCAGAGCCCCTGTAAATTGTTCCGAACTAAACAAAGACATAAACACGCAAGCTTGACATTATTTTTAAAAGTGCAAATTTCGTTTTAAGCTCAAAGGAAGTAATTAGTGTAACTTTTGCATAGAAATACTACGTGCCCAACAGTCGGCCACAATATGGCGAACACTGTGGGCTGCCAGTGCCCAGCTCCCCCATCTGAATATGAAACGAATAACTGCAAGCACAACAAATACGTACGTTGGGGATAAAAAATGCAATAGCAGCAGCAACAACAACAATTCCAGTGTCGTACAGGAATATCTATAGATATACAACGTATGCTCTTAAAAACACCGACACACACATATGTACATACATATATGGGGAAATATTTTGACTAAGTGTGTGCGGTTATTTTAATTACCAAAACCGTCGGCAAACGGCGTTGTAGTCGTTTCAGCTGCGGGCAAAACCCTTAATTAATTTGCATATTAATCATGCAGTTGCCTGAAAACAACAGCAGCAACAACAGCAACAGTAAGAGACATAAAATATTATATAGTACATCCAAAAAAAGCAAAGGCAGGCATAAAAACTGCAGTCATTAATTGTGGCTTGGGGCCAACATTTGCGAAATATCGAAATGAATTGCCACTAATGGCAATCGTTGCCAATTTCTGCTGCCATATTTTAACAGAGAACATCAAGCCGTTAACTTTCGACGAGGTCTACAACCAGAGCAGTCCCTCCAATTGCACCGTTTATGTGGGCGGCGTTAATAGCGCCCTGACCGCGCTCAGCGAGGAGGTGCTGCAGAAAACATTCGCGCCCTACGGCGCGATACAGGAAATACGCGTCTTCAAGGACAAGGGCTACGCATTTGTGCGGTAAGTCGAGGCATACTCTTGCTTCCCCCACTCCCTCACTCCCCCACTCCTCAACGATCCCGTAGCCCGAGCTAGCTGCTCATTTGTCATACGCATTTGCAATTCCACTTGCAGCTTCTCCACCAAGGAGGCAGCCACCCATGCCATCGTCGGCGTGCACAACACCGAGATCAATGCCCAGCCAGTGAAGTGCTCCTGGGGCAAGGAGAGCGGTGACCCCAATAACTCGCAGACCATGGCCAGCCAGGCATTGAACAGCGCCGCCGCCGCCGCCGCCGGCTTTCCATACGGCGTGAGCGCCGCTGCGGCCGCCGCCGCCGCCTACGGACAGCAGCTGGCCGCCACTGGATGCTGGTACTCGCCGACGCCTACCTATCCGGCCTCGTCGGTCACCGCAGCCGCTGCAACACCAGCTGCAGCGGCGGCCAACGCTGCGGCCGTTCAGAATCAGTTCCTGCAGGGCATCCAGGGCTACCATTTCAGCCAGTACGGAGGCTACCAGCAGGGCTACATGGGGTAGGTAACCTTGATGCCGTTGCCATCGATTTATGGATAATTATTTCATTAGCTGAAACGCTTGCGTTTCCATTGCCCATCGTCCATCGCCCATTCCCGGTGCCGCTCTACACAACATGATTGAATCGCCACCGGGGATGGGCAGCGACAGCATGACGGATGAGTGAATTCATTTGCTAATTGCTAAAGTTTTCATTTGTGAGTGCGGCGTATATTTACCTGGTGCAGGGCGCAGGGCGCACGGTTCTCACATTTATCCATGTGCTGCACTCTGAGCAGGAGCAGAACTCATCTGTCTCGCCGGTGGTAATTGTCCTCGTCGAGCTGGCTCCTGGGAGTGCCTGAGCCTGAATGTGTGTGTGTGTGTGTGTGTGTGCATTATTGTTGGCCGTCAACAACTCTTGACTCTTGGCTCATGTACGAACTCTTCTTCTTCTTCCGCTTCCATTTCAGAATGGGCGTGCAGATACCAGCCACCTGGCAAGGCGTCACCCAGGCCCAGATCTCGCCGGCCCAGCAGCTGGCAACGGGCGTTGCGGGCACTGCAATACCACAGGCCGCCGGCGTAGTGGCCTATCCCATACAGCAGTTCCAAGTGAGCCCCCAGGTATGTGCAAATCAACACCAATACCAAATGACATAAACAGACACACACACAGATAAAGCATATTCGCATTTGTACATACATTCAAAGTCGTATATTCTGAATGTTTTGAATTTGTTCTCCATTCGATTCGCCTGTTTGCAATTTCGCTTATTTGTTTATTGATTAGTTAGCAATGCCAAATGCATTTATTTATTTATAAATATTGTTTTTATATATTTGTATATATATATTTTTTAATATTTTCAATTTTTGGTTGCCTCTTGTTGCCTGCACTGAGTGAGCTTTTAGCTTAAGCATGCTGTAGCTGTTATTTAATACATTTTGTTTTTAGGTATTTGCATCAGAAAACAAGCACAGAACAATAGAGAGCAAATATGTAATACGAGCGAATATTCAATTTATAAAATGAAATAAATCAGACCGAAAACATCAATATTATTGCTCAACATGCAAATATCCTGTTGCAGGAATTGATATGTCCTTAGAATTGCTCGAGGTTTATTTGACTAAAATAAACAGAATTTAAAAATTAATGATAATAGACTAAAACCTTATATACTGTGAAAATGAGCATAAATAGAGTAGATATATTTCATTTGTAGACTATACTGAAATGAGCTCTTGGAAAGGCACTAAATTCGCAGAAATACTTATACCTTAGTAGATCTCTTCATGCTGCCTATGCATGTATATTTTCATAGATAGATATTTGGGTCTATTTCTATATATATATGTATATACAGGTGGAATATATTTTCATTTCATCTCATCCTCTGCTGAGATTAGTAAAGGCAGCGCAGCTGCTGTTCACGTTTCACTTCAACTTGACATTAAAGCCTAGTTTGACATCAAATAAAATATATGCATAATACATTTAAATATTCATTTATGATTACAATAGTTCAGTCGGCAAGCAAATCAAGTAAAACTCATTTAAATTGCTCAGTAATCAATTGAAATTCCCTTCGACTGCGACCAACAAAGGAATTTCGCTTCTAATGCCAATTAATATAAAACGAAATTCCCCTTCGAAATGCTTGCGTATAGAAATCTAATATAAAAAGCAAAAGCTGAACTTTTGTACACTTAAGCCTTGTTGCAATACGCTTTGGGTATTTACATATTTGATGTGTTTGTGAGTAATATTTAATGATTTTTATTTAAACGTACTGCATTCGAATGCTGCTCATACTGATTCAATGCGACATGAATTTACTTTTTTACTGCTTCATACAAAGTTTTTAATAGCCATACATATTTAAGAGCGCTGCATACAATTTTGACTGCATTCTACATTTTATTCCGACTACTATTTTTTTCCAATTTTTACTAACACCCATATTATTTTTTAAGGTTTATCCTTTACTTTTGCAGGCACAGTAAGCAACAAAAGCAAAAAAACAAAAAAAAAAAAAAATAAAAAAAATAAGCAAATTAAAACAGAAAAAAAAAGCAAATTTTTTTAAGTACAGCAGAAGTTCTGAACAGAAAGAAAAACAAAACAAAATCAGCTGTAAATAAATGCGAAGCGCCGAGCAATTGCTTAATTGACGTCGAATGTTGAGTGCAGCACCCAAAGCCAAAGCCAAAACCGAAAACCAAAAACCAAAGTAGAACCACAACAAAATATGCTACAGCACACACACACACACAGATATACATCTGCAGCTGCTTATGATATATTAGCTTCATAAACAGTTGCAGGTGACCCTTAAATAAGCCTTAAATGCAAAATGAAAAAAAAAGTTGCTTTAAAATAGCATACATACACACACACACACACACATAGACGGTTCTCCGCAAGCCCAAACCCCCACACATACACATAAATATATATATATAAATTAATGCTTCATATAAATGTGTTATGCATGCCGCGTAAAAATAAAATAAATTAAAATAAAAAAGAAAAAAAAAAACAAAAACCAATTATAAGTAAATGTAGAAGAAATTAAGACAATTAAAAACAAAAATATTGCGTAAATAAGTAAAACAAAAAAAAAAGGAGAAAACCATAAATTAAGTATACTATTTTCTGAGCGTTGTGCACAAAGCAGCCTAGGATGCACATGAATACATATATACAGACACAAACACACACACATACACACACATGCGTTATATGATGAAAATAAACATAATTAAAAATGCGTTAAAATTAATTACGTGCAGACACACAAACAAACACACACACACACACATACATACACACATACTCTCATTTATTTATACAAATTTTGAGGTCTGCAGACACACACGCACACACATGCAGGCATCTGTAGGCGTTTAGCATTGCCTACTTTTGTGCGCAGAACGTGTTTATCGAATACACACACACACACACACACACACATACATTCACTATTTAATGTGTCAATGATGAGACACAGACAGCACTAGTGCCTATTACTATCGTAGATCTAGACGAGAACATCGCCACATTGCCAACTGCCAAGCCAAGCCAAGCCAAGCCAAACAATTGATGAACTCGACTTTTCCTGCTATCATTTTCCTATAGTCTGCAACAGAATGTTACAAAGAATTGTTAGCCCATTGCAACAAGCTAGCGCACAAAGCTCATACAACTATCTAAGTAGTCCTTTATTTTGTGATTGCTCAGTAATTGAAAGACATGTTCCTACACACCCACACACACACACACACAAACACACACATACACACATTTACCAAATAGCCACAAGCACTCGCAGTAAATAGTATCTGAAATAACTAATAATCGTTACTATCTATCATACGTTGCTGACAAACGCAACGCAAGTCCAATGCAATCCAGCCACAAGCAAGCTTAACTCTTAACTGAAACTCGATATTCGATGATGTTGCCTGGCCGCGAATCCGTAATGGCCATCACACACACAAGCATAAGTTTTATCTGTCTCACAGGCTTTGTAATTAATAACAGCAAAACACACACACACACACACACACTAATTTCCTTTATTTCACCTAGTTTGCGATAATTTCAGTTTTGATTTCTTTGATCAATATAAAAACGTCACTCGATCTTGAAGATTCCCCCAAACGACATGTACAAAGCCACATAATATCAAAATTCAACCTCATACGCATTCGTTTTACTTTACTTTAATATCAACTTGTTTATGGTACTCAAACGTATAAAACGTATATGTTTTTATTTCAGTTGCCAGAAGATGAATGGTTAGCTGCAAATTTATTGTGTTAGAAACAGAGAAAGCCCAGAAATCCGAATTACGAATTATGTAAAGCTAATACAGATGACACCCATGTGTTCCACAGGTCTTTACACACTCTCTCATTTGCCATACATCAATTAGACGAGATTGCCTGCACGCCTGCTTCCCCCCCTGGCCAAGGCTCTGCTCGAGTCGCTTCTCAGGCCATAGGCAGCGACTGTACGCTGCAAATCGGGGAATGCTAGTTTGAAGAGGCTTGTGAAATGTGTGGGCGGACGGGGGAGGAGGAGGAGGTAGATTAGCTGACACTACTGGGAGACGCCCAATATACACAAATACATGCATATACTCATACTTATATAGACGTACGTTCAATGAATACAATCAAAATATGCCATCGAATGATATTAATTGATATTAGCCATAATAAATGCAAATTCGCAATATAAATACGTATATATAGCAATTAAATGAGCGCATTAACAATTCGCTACACCGAAAACAAACCCAAACCCAAACCCAAAGCTGAAACCGAAACGAAAATGAAAATATTATAATGCATATTCCGAAGATCCTGTTTCATTTACGCATGTCCAGCCATGCGCCAAGCACAGCAGCAAAAGCAATTAATTCAAGCCAGCGAGACAGGAAGGGTGCATTCAGTACACACACACACACACACACAAACTCGGGCATAATTGAATAACTGAATCATACTCGCATGAGCATGAGTATGCCCATTAAGTACATATATATATACATATATAGCATATAGTGTAAGACTAGGTGCTGCTCGATGATTATAGTTCAAACAGCCACGCCTCCGACTGGCCGCCCCTGAGAGGAATATTTACAGACATATATATAGAGAGCGTAGTTCAGTAAAGGTTAAAAATAGTTCATCGTAGCCCACACAAACACACACACATACATATATACACATACATACATACACTTGCAACGGCTTATGTAATAAGTATTGACAACAAAGCAGATGGCAAAAATATGCTTATACACACAGATATTTAAATATATGGATATATTGCTTAGTGGCATATGTAACTTAATACATACATACACACAAATATACACATATATATACATATATATGTGTATCCTTCAGTTATTCATTCATTTAAATGCGAACATTTTTCTCGGATGATTAATTACAAATATATGTTCAAAACAAAACAAAAAACAATTAAAGCGATAAAAACCGATATAAAATGTAATAGATCATCATTGAGAACGAATCGAGCAATTGAATTAAAGTTTTAGTTGAACTGGTCAGCCGAAGAGGGGGGCAGCAGGAGCAGCAGGAGGAGGCGCTCGATGTCAATTCGCATGTGGCGCTTGCCTATTTTATTTTACAATGCAATTTTCATGTGTATGGGTATTATTATTAATAGTTTTGTATACAAACCACACAAGCACACACACACACACAAACACACACATACAGATACATATAAGCATATGCAGTTATGTTGCTTTTTGCATAGAGGCAGATAGGGATGGATGGCAATTAGTAGTACTATAGTTCAAATACATAATTGAGTGTTGTGTATGCATGTCTATAGCGGAACGAGCTCTAAAACGCAGGATCGCACAGTATAACATTCAGCATAACCTTAACCGTAACCGTAACCGTAACCTTAACCGTAACCTTAACCGTAACAGTAACCGTAACCGTACCCTAATCGAAAGAAACTACGAAACCGACATAGCTTAAGAAACTAGCGAGTTGTAATGTCTATTAAGATGTTTTTAGCACTAGAATTAACGGACTTTGCGAGGGGCCGGCGACTTAGATGTAGATGTGATTTTAAGCCAGAGCAAACAGAGAGATTGAAGCTGATGCGATGATTGCATTTTTATGTTGTTATTTTCTTTGAGCCAAGAAGGGGTGACAAAAAAGAGGAGAAGAGGAGCAAAGGCAGAAGAACTTTTTGTTAAATAAACGATATCTTAGGCAGATGAAAATTTAAAGCATTGTTGACCAAACCAATACAAAAAAAAAAAAAAGAGTTTAAAAAGAAAAAGAGAAAAAAAACAAAACATTTGGCTATAAGAAAAGCAGCACATTTATGAAAGCAAACTTTATATTTAACACAAAATAATATATGGGAAAAGATAAAAAACCAAATGAAAAATTATATACAAATATTATTGGTTTGTTTGTTAATGTTTGCGCAACATATCAGTGAAGAGTTAAATGAGTAGTTTCCACATAGAAGCTTACCCAGAGTTGAAAACTATAAATAATATAAAAAAAAAAAACACAAAAAAAAACGTAAGCATTAAGAAGAAATATAAAAACTAAATAACGATTCAAAGAAAATATATTATATATATATATATAAAAAAACAAAAAAAAAAAAAAGTATTAATGTTGTGCAACTATTGAATGTGCTAAGACATTTATATACGTCTACAAACATATACATATACAAACAAAATATTTATATATATACAGTAACAGTAACAGTAAAACAGCCACAAATAACAAAAACAAATATTGATAGGCGTAGGAGGAGGAGGAGCATTACATAAGCATTGAGTAAGCCAAGTTGGACAAGCTAACACTACTCCAGTCGAAAGTATCTAACTCTGTTCAGTTGACGATGTCTTTCGTTCTCTTCAGTCAGTTTTCAGTTGACGACGACGACGACGACTCCAGCTGAATTATTTAGTTTGGATTTAGCTCTAACGGATTTTATAGACATTTATTATTGAAATTGCAATTGATATTGAGGCAATTCTTGTTTTGTACACTGTGAAACGGAAACACAACTAAAGCGGATATTAAATGCATGAAACCAATTGTTGTTTCAAATTAGAAACTTCAATTACAATTTAGTCAATTTGGTGTGTAATTATTCGAAAGCTGTAACTGGAACATTAGCAAAATTTTACGATATATATATACACACACACACACACACAGTCACACTCACACACATACACACAAAACATGGAATGAATGTAGGGCCTGGGGTCACGCTGTAGTTAAGTAACGTAGCATAAATTAAGTTAAAACCAAAATACATATACATAAATAAATTAAACGAACGAAATCAAATCAAACTGCAACAACAACAACAACAAAGCAAAAACCGAAAATCAATCAAAGACAAGTATTATTTAAGCAACAATACAATACCAGTAAAAATACAAAGCAAAAACAAAAATCAAATAATATAACAATAGTTACATAACAGATATTTACATAGAGCCGTACTCAAACCGAGGCATAGATCACGAGAGCTGACGGGTTGCGAAAATAGCCAAGGCATCAATTCTAATCAACTTTTGTTCATGGTTCTCCATTCGACAGCCCAGAGCAGAGCCGAGAGACAGCCCGTGAATAGAATATAGAGAATTCATCTCGTTTAGGCGAATGCTATATATCATAGCCTTTGCCTATCTATATGAGATGTATTCTATATAGTATATATATACATATATATACGCAAATATATATCAATGAATAGAGCAAACCAAGAGTTAAGCGTTAAACTAGCAAACTAAATCAATTAGCAATGTAAGCGGAGCGAGGCGGACTCTCTCTATAAGATCGAACGAAGCAATCCATAATATTTTCGTGCAATATTCCAGAGGGCATAAGCATGCATTTTATGCATTTAAAATCATAGTAAGATTGTGAACAAAATACACAGCAAATGTAGAAGAAATCAAACGATGAGCAAATAACCAAAAGCTGCTAAATAAAACAAGAAAAACAAAAAAACTAAAGAAAAAAAAAACATGCATATGTAGGTATTGAATAGCATCATACTAAGACGCAGATTAACTGTGCACACAACTTCACCAATTACACCAACACACAGACACAATCTCACGATAAGAGTAAAGAGTAAAATCTATATATGTATATGTATGTATGAACACATAAATATGTTAAGTGAATAGCGAATAATATATATAAACAAAATATAGATATCGACTGCAGTATTGCAAATATTTTGTAGAAGTTTAAGAGTGTTTGAGTGTGTTTTAGAACAAGGACTAGAAAGCACAGGCCCCAAAAGCAAACAGGAAAATTATGAAAGCAAATTATTATGAAAAACAAAAGAGAACAAATGAAGATTTAGCAGAGAGAAAAACAAAGCGAAGATTAGAAATAAATTACATAAGCTATGTTCTAATAAAACAAAAGATATACATATATATAATATTATATATATGAAATAAAAAATATATGGCATTAAACGTGGCCGCAACTATCGTCATACACACACACACACACATACATACATACATACACACTCACGTATATACAAAATGGCGTTTTCATCAGAAATCACATGTGAAACAATGTAACGAATATTAAAAGGTTAATCAAATTAAGCATAGCAGCCCCGAAGAAAACGAAACAAAGCAAATATTTATAGTTAAAAGTGAAAAACAACAAAGAAAAAAAAAAAAAAAAAAAAAAAAAAAAAAAAAAAAAAAAAAAAATTTGGCCGGGTTTTTTTAAAACCA